AAGCAATGGCATAGGCACACATTGTTACTTTTGAAATCACGTGTTGAGAGAGCAGGGAGAGGCCACCTTACACTTGCTGCTGTTTAGAAGGTAGGATGTTGTATTTCATGTCTTTATCTCACTTCCCAACATAGAACAAGTGACCGTAGATGACACCAGAGTTTAGTTTAGGCCAACACAAGTGGTCTTCTGGGCCTTTATTCTTATACATTATGGTATAAGTGGCATAAAAATGTTTTATGGAATTCTTGTATCAAGTTCAGATTTGAGTTCCTCTTTGTTGGACATTGTACCATAACTATACAGTGTTGGTCTTTTGTGCTGCGTTAGTGGCTCCGGCTTGGAGGTTGAAATCAACTTCCTACAATAAGGCTAACATCAGTTAGACATTATGAATGCAAACCTTTTTTAATCAAATCTTCTAAATTTTTAAATTTGAGTTAATTCAGTATTGTTTGAAGTTATTTTTGCCATTAAAAACAAGGAGCTGAAAGTCTTCCCTTGTGTCATTAGGGGTTTACTGTGTCACTAAAAAAATGCTCCAACTCACTCTACTGTTTCAATCACATTCATATTGTACCTATTAAAATATTAAATCCTCTATAATTATATTTCATAAAATGAGAAAATGTTATAATGAACAGCTCTGATGACATGGCTCTTCTCATCAGAGCACTCCAGACACCCAGACCTGTTCTCCTACAACAGAGCTTGTGGATGTAGCAAAAACAAGTGGAAAAGAAAGCCACAGGTGACAAAGGTGACGTGCCTGATCTAGTTCAGGAAAGGTACATTTTTAATAGTCCATCCCTAGATCAACACATCTGGAAATAATACACTGATGAACATAAACATCTGAAGTATTAATAAGCCACAATTATGTCTTTTTGTTATTTGAGTCTGTAAACAATTCTGATGTGTACGGTTCATAAACAAGAGTGCAACTTTCTTGGGGGGACCCAAATAACATTATTTACTAATTACGTATTTTCGAACACAGCCCGAAAAGCATAATGGATGAAGCTAAGGTGACAAAGTGGAGGATTTAGACAGCAAGGTAACAGCAAATTCTTAACACAAATGTCAACATACCAATTCTGTTGTCTTTCCTGCATATTAACCTAATTTCACCTTGTGACTTTTTCATAATATGTTTAATAAAAATAGTGTATGTTGGATTGTTTTGGTTTATGTGAGGTCAGATGCACACAAGAACCACTGACCCTGCTACTGCTGACACATTGGGTATAAAAACAGTCACAGACCTCCAGCCTTGTCAACCTGGAGGAGCCGTCCACAGCGCTATGGTGCTGAAGTACTTAAAAGACGATGGTGAAAAGAGGTACTGCTCGAAGCAAACAAGAGCAAGGTTTGTGTGTTTGAGTAAAAGCATATTGAGGTACGATGATGTTGGCTGGTGTCAAAAATGAAATACTGGGTCTGTGACAGATTATCAAACAATGGGCCACTACCTGGCCTACACTTACATGAGTGAGACCCAGATTGAGCAACCATGTGATTTGTAGTCTGTTTGAACATTTTTATAGTCGTTTTGCTTAGTTTTGTGTCTGTAGCCATTTTATGTTAATTTTTACTCATTTTACATTTCTTTGTGGTTATTTTGTGTCTCTTTTGGTGATTTGGCATATTTTTGCTCTCTTGTGGTCTTTTCTATCTCCTTTTAGTCATTTCATACAGTATATGTACAGTATGCTTATATTTTTGTTCTTGTTTTGTGGATTTTTGTAGTAATTTTTAAGTTATTTTATTGTCTTTCCAATGGGAAGTTTAACAGTGCCTTTATGGTTCTCTGT